TTGAAGGAGCTGACCACCATAAAATTCCAGATCAGGTATGAACCTCTATAGCGGTCTTATTAACCTACGGGAGGTTCGCACCTAAACCAAATCTCTCGCTTTCTACAGCATCCTGCATAAGAAAATCCTTAGACGACCTATTCTTTAGCTGAAATAATACATCCAAAAGGATTTATGGGCTTCTTCCAACCTCCAACTTTGAGTTCCTTGAATCACATCAAATCTTACTTCGTTTTAAGGAGCTTTGAACTCAAACTGCTCATCCACTGGAACGCTGAGCTTTAACTCGCTTTTTACAGCATCCTGCAGGAGAAAATCCTTAGACACCCTATTCTTTAGCTGAAATAATACCAAAAGGCTTTATGGGCCTCTTCCAACCTCCAACTTTGAGTTCCTTGAATCACATCAAATCTTACTTCGTTCTAAGGAGCTTTGAACTCAATCTGCTCATCCACTGGAACGCTGAGCTTTAACGTTTGGGTCTAGGTAGCTCCTACTTAGGTAACTTCGGCTCTGCTAAGCCTAGGTGAGCCAAGGTAAGCCGTAATGGAACCCTACACGAAATTTCCCCATTCACCCCTTTTGTTGTCCTGAGCCACCCTTCTAAAATGGTGCCCAGCTAATCTATGGCCTCCAGAATGGGTGACCATTTCTCACACGCCCGAGCGTTCGTTGTCGACGCGACGAAATTGGTTCAATTTCTCCTATCGGGTCGTGTTTTTAGTCATATTTGTCGACATTGGGTGTGGTGCCAGTTGGTCGATGTCCGAGAAGAAGTCATTTTGGACACGAGACTACGGCTATTGGTTGAACAGAAGGTCCAGGAGTAAGTAGGCTGAGAAATAGAAGTAAAAAAGCACAGGGTTGAAAAACACTTGTCAAAAAAGACAATGAATTGGAGGTAATTCCCTAGTGGGGTTGAAGCGAATTTTTCGTCAAACGCTCTCTCTACACGTCGGGATGCGCCGTGCCCTCTGCTTTAATTTTTTTCATATCCTCTCGATTTGTGATTGCGGAACCACTGACGTGAGGAAAGAGCATAAGTTCTCGTTCGTTTTCAGAATGGTTGAAGAGAAACTGAAGCGTAGAAAGCGAAAATAAGTGGTTCAACTCCTTTCTGTATTAAGTTAGGTCCAAATTCTGAATTCTGAGATTTTTTTGGTTTTATTCGAATAGAACCACAGTTTTACATGCTGAGGAAGAGGAAATGAGAATGAGAAACCATGTTAACGAGAGGCCCAAAAAATGTTTATTGGATTTTGATCAATGTCGCCGGTACTGCAAATGAGAAGGTGACTGGTTCAGAAGGAATGAGAATTCTCAACAACAACTAAACTGTAGTCCGCCTTCCCCAGCAAAAAAAGAACAATCTCGTTGATGTCTGAGGTTCCCACAAATCAGAGCGACTAGCCACATGCCGACTGATTGTTAACAAAATCCTAAAAATCCCAAATAAATACGACTTGCGTGGCTCATCTTAAGGTGAGTACTTAGCTTTTTTATGCAATTCCACAGCTGATTCTATGGAGCAATTGCTAGAACTCCAACAATCAAATAAAGCTCATTGAGATCGGCATACTAATGTGTCTCTATAAAAGGACAAAGTCTAGGAAGGTAATGGAATTAGTGATGGGGCCGTAGACAACAACGGCAGAGTAAGCACTGAATATATGAAAAGGACAAGCGATAAGGTAGTTGACGCTGATTCACTCTGCTTGGATGGGCCTCGAACGTAACATTTACATAAAAAAGCCATTTCATCCAATATCTGTTCTTCCCCATGGATTTGGATTTTGCCAGTACCCTCGTGACTGATTGGAACTCCAAATCACTCCAGCTACATCTACCAGTACTGACGAGTAAGTGAAGATGCAGGGCTGGAC